AAAATCACCACAATGAATGACATATTCTCAAGGACAGCTGACATGCCTAAAATCAAAATAATAGTCAATGAATATGGACAGCCTGTAGGAGAAAATTATAGGAAGTTTACTAGTGCCATTGGTTGTCAAGTGACAAAGATATTACCAGTTCGATTTAATGATTGGAGGTCTGTTCCCCTTGGAAAGAAGCTTCAAGTTTGGGATGACTTGCAGGTATAGCATTGTGTGCCCTTGTGCAAGTTATCCAATTCATAGCAGCTAGTATAATCTGTGCATCAATAGCAACTTAGTGCAATCTATACATAATATGTACATCAATAATCAGCTTTTTTTAGCAATCTAATACCCACATAGCAATTAATAGTAGCTTAGTACAATTTGTACATGATCTGATGGCTCCTTTTCAATGGCAAATTAGGCGTTCTATGATGTGGATGAGGCTGTCAAGAAATGGTTTATGGATACGGCTGCAAGGAAGTGGAAGGATTACAAGGCAGACTTAAAAGAGAAGTTTTTTGATGAACATTAACAGATGAACAAATGAAGGAAAGACTTAAAAATATATTAAATGATGATGACATCAATGATCTTATTTAATTTTGGAGGTCTTCTGAATGTCAAGTAAGCAACAGTTCATATGAATCTTTCTTTTCCATTACTTGCCTATGAATGTGCAAATCTCAATTATTTCTACCATAGGCTCGCACAGAAAGAGGAAAAGCAAATCGTGCGAAGTTGAGGGTTCATCATACATCTGGAATGTTTGCCGTAGTTATAATCTGGTACAGAATCCTATCATGTTACTCATCCTATAAATTATTTTGGGGCATTTTCATTGGTACATAGTTATAAAACTTGTAGGGTAAAGCACTTGGACGCCCCACTCGAAGAGATGAAGTGTACATCAATACACATACAAGAAAAAATGGAGTACCTTTAAGGGAGGCAGCAGTAACGATTGTAAGTTTTCCCAAAAAAAAGAAACATGGATCTGTTGTATACACTTTACTTATTCATATTTTGTAGGATGAGCTTAAAGCCATTGTTGAAGCTCAACCAGAGTTAAAGGATAGAACAATTCAAGAAGGCGATGCGTATGCTGCTGTTTGTGGAGCAAAGGAGCCAAAAGGACGTGTTCGTGTTTTGGATCTAGGACCAACTCCCCAAGAGATTGGTACCCCAGGGCTCAGAGCACTCATGTCAACAAGGATGCAAATGGAAATTTTTGCTCAACAGAAAGCTGAAAGTAAGAACAGAACTCTTGAGCAACGCCTTGCGGTATTAGAAGAGGAAAGGATGGCACAAGGCAGGACAAATGTTGAAGTCCTGTCACAGTATGGCTCTAATTCACGACAGTATGCGGTAAAGAACTCGAACTAAATTATCTCTTTACATATCATAATGTGCACATACATTTCTCTAGTAGCAACCAATGAATATTATTGTTCCGATTCTTATGTAGAGTCTGACACCTGAAAGACCTATCGACGAGGCACATAATGCTCCTCGGCATGAAGACTATGATAATTATGTAGAGGATGAATACTATGATCACTATGGTGAGGAGGATGAGAACTTGCTCCCCCATAGGCATGTTGTAGCCCGATTAGCTATGAACATTACAACAGCAACAAATGTTGGCCCTTGCTTTGCAAATGATACACATGTAATCTTCCTATGCCCTTGCAAAGTATTTGTTTGTGATTTTGAAAATGTTCCCTGCATTACAATTCTCATGAGTGCATCATTTATTTTAGGTCAAAATGGAAGAGACCTTACCCCCCTCTAGGCCTGCTGTAGCCCGATCAGCTATGAACATAACTACTGCACCAACAAGTGATATCCACCCTTACTTTGCAAAATGATACACATGTAATCTTGCCATGCTGCTGCAATGTTTGTCTTTGCGATTTCAAATATGTTCCATGCTTTATAGTTCTCATGAGTGCATCATTTATTTCAGGTTGCAACGGAAGAGAGCTTGCTGCCCCCTAGGCCTATTGCAGCCCGATCAGTTATTAACATGATTACTGCACCAACAAATGATATCCTCCCTCGCTTTGCAAATGATACACATGTAATCTTGCAATGCTGCAGCAATGTTTCTCTGTGATTTTAAATATGTTCCATGTTTTGTTGCTCTCATGAGTGTATCTTTACTTCAGGCTAAAACTGATGAGAGCTTACTCCCCCATAGACACGATGCAGCCCATTCACCTATAAACAAGACAACTACAGCAACAAATGATGGCCCTCGCTTTCATGATAACCTTTGTAATCTTCCTGTCTTCCTACATTCTTTTGTGGTTTCATATACGTTCCTTGCTTTAAAATTCTTATGGGCGCATCATTTATTTCAGGTTGAAAAGGATGTGATATTATTTGCTATATTGAGATCTGAGTTAGTTGTGGCTAGAGAAACAGTCATTTCAACTAATCCAAACACCATGGTAGGAGGCCAGCCTCTTGGGAATGAATATTGTGAAGTAGTTGTCAATGTTGTGATGAGAAGGGATGCTATGCTACCTCGGACTTATGGCGAGATGCAGACTATGGCTAGTACTCTAAAGATGAGCATTGCATGGCCATACAATAAAGTAATAAACTAGACTTGACATAATTTTCATTTTGGTTTGATCTGTGATGCATGACCAATGTTCTAATTAAACCTATCTGTGATGGAAGAAGGAATGCAAGAAGGCATCTAGTACACCTCTCAAGGGCACTGCAGGTATGTCCCTAAATTAGAGGCTGACAAAGTAAATAGAGGCTGCAAGTGAATAGAAAATAACAGCTCAATTACATATGCAAGTACTAGCTAGTAGTACTGCTCATGGTCTGACAAAGTCACAAAGTGAAGACTCTACCAACTGAGCTACTATCACGTATTTATTTTTTTATAGTTTCCTCACTATTGCAGTGAGCACAAGAATTTTCTTTTCCCATGCAATTTTTGGTCTTTGACTTTTAGAGAATAATTTACTTTTCAAACTAAACAGTTTAACACTTGAAATGTAACCCGGGGGAAAATCTATGTTAAATCCACATGAGGGGCTGGCCGCTGGCCCAAATGGGAGAGTTATCTGTGCTGATTTTTTTTAAGCAAGTAGTTCAGATTCTGTTCTCCCAAAAGATGATCCTACATAACTTAGACACAAGACAGAGCTTCACCCAAGTCATACCTATACATGTGATATGCTGTCAAGTCGTAGTTTATAGGTAATAGCTATACTAAATATGATTGAGAACGAAGGCATTTGTTCAGAGATGAAAATTATAACTGTAACTATTACTTGCACATGTATCCAACCACTATGAACTGTGCTGAAATATGTAAACTGAAGTTCACAACTAAGTGTTATTTGTACTAGATGACTATTTAACAGCAGTAGGAGAAAAAACCTATAATTTGGCTTGAGTTTCTGAAAAATGGATGTCTACACTTGCTGATTACAAATCATACTGCACAACAGCTTCACATATTTTCTCCACTTGCCTAATTACATGGTGGTTATATTTTTCAAGAAGTGATGGGAAGTCTTTGGCTTGAGTTTCTGGAAAATGGTTATACACATAACCTGTGGAGGCTCTAGTGTTGGCAAGCCATTGCTTTTAGTTTTTGAGTTCCTAAAAATAATTGTGTGCACAAACCTTAGTATGTCAAACACAAACTATTAGTATTTCTTGTTGGGTGTGCATTCATGTGATCTTTTGGTGGTTGACCTTGTTGGATGATGTACTGTGCAAGACAAGATTGTATGTTATATATGTATTGACCTCCATGTGATGTATGTGTTTCTATATCTTTATGGGATGGACCTTAAGCTTGAATCTGGGTATGATATGTGCTACATGTTTTCTCATTGTATTTATTTTTTTATATATTTATATTGTCCTGTAGAACAATCTATCGCTATAAATACATGTACTGTTGAATGATCTGTCAATATATGCCTAGTAACAGAGCATCTGCCGCTAAAAAGTAGCAATGGACTATCTGTTGCTAAAAATTTTAGGGCAACAGACTATCTGTGGATAAAAGTACTATTTGTCGCTAAAGATTTTTAGCGACAGGACTTACACTGTCTACAGAAGTTTGTCGCTATAACTTTTTAGCGTCAGATTGTCTATCGTTGTAGCCGCTTTTGGCGTCAAACTGTCCATCGCTAATCTTGGTGTTGCGGTGTAGTGACTCGAAAAGAGAACACTGCGAGCCCTGCTATTTGCGTTGTGCTGGTCAATCTACTCCTGAGTGATACGAGCACCAAGCACAACGTAAGTAGCATCCTCATAAATCTCCCATACCCGCTAGTCAATGTCTGAAGATATGTAGACATGCAGATCTTCAAGTAGGGGTAGTTTGTTCTATTGAAGAACGACGGCTTGCTGGAACCGCGCTCTAGGTCGCCTTCGTGGATCACGGACCAATTAAGGTGGAATGATCCTTAATTGGCTCCGATACCAATTGAAGGACCGAAAACGGTGATCAGAGAGGGGTAAATGGGGGCCGTAACTTTTCTCTCGAAATATTTTCGGCCGCTGTCCCAAATCACTGTCAAACACGCAAAGCAACCACCGTGGTGTCCACGACCCAAATGAGTAGGTGGATATTTTATAGGAACACAGCGAGACACCACCAAGCGAACAAACCGCGAAGCACTCACACCAAATCGAGGAAAAAAATAGGATACTCAACTCCTATTGAGAAGAAGCGAGTTTCCAAATCTAAATACTTAAGTCAACTGGTCACAAGAGTACCTAGATAAGTACCATGAATTAGTGGGAAGCCAACGCAAAAAAATAAAACACGAATCGGAGCTCAAACGAAAAAACCATGGACGAAATAGCGAGCTCGAGAATTAAAGACCGGAAATTTGAGGCTTCCGAACCGGTAATTCGAACCGACGAATTTCACGTACAGACGCTGGCACTGGACACCACGGCAGGACACCACCTCGAGCGGACGGTGCACCGTCTGGTGAAAGGGCGGTGAACACCGGTCACTCCGGTGCCCACCCGAACTGAAACGCAAGAGAGAGACGCGTGGCTCAGGTGCTCTTCTCGGTGCTGGACCTCTGCTAGGCGAGCAGCCCACCAAGGGCAAGCACGCTGCGGTGCTTGTTTGCTCGGCGTCGGCCCAGCACAGAGAGAGAGAACGAACACCGGGAAGAACCGAACAGAGCTCTGGCGGAGGGGCTGCTCCGCGCACGGCTCACGAAACGAAAAAGCACAGGCGCCCTCCGATGCCTAGCCAGTTAGAGAAGAGAGGGAGAAATCGGATGGCCATGCTTTTTTCACCAATTTGCTTCGTTTTGACGTAACTTCCATGATTCCACCAGGTGCTGTCCCGTTCCTCTTCAGAATCTCTGCCCGGGTTTTGAGGATAAACCCGCGAAATCATCCACCCGGTGGTTTTGAGACTTAACCCAACAACCGTCCATGCCTGGTTTTGAGGCCCAGACCTGCAAACCGTCATCCAATGGTTTTGAGGCCGAAACCGTCAAACCCCATCGATGGTTTTGAGGACAAAACCACCAAATCCCTGATGTCGACGCGTATCCAACCTCCGCCAAGCTTGACGCCTTCGCCTTCCTTCTTGACTTGACCGACGCCATCTACATCTCCCATGTAGATGCGTGTCCGGCCTCCGTTAAGTGCCACGACGCCATCGTCCTTCATCTTGACTTGGTCGACGCCGTCTTCATCACCCATGTACTCTTGCACTCGTCGATGTTCCCAAGTGTCAGCCACCGCGGCTGGTCACCTGGCCTCCTAGTCTCTCGGTCCAAGCCTCAAGTCCATCCTTCACCGCTCCCAGTCCATCGGCACGGCACGTCTCTACTTGACCTTCACCTCGTCGTCGACCACCGCCTCCAAGCTCTATACCTACGCACCACAAGCCAAGAGACATGTTACACCACTCACGTCATGGTTAGTTCACCGACTCAACTCAAGACGCAAGTCACATTGACAATCACTCATCACAACCGAACCATAAGGGCACGTATCAAGCTTGCGTTCACATGCCCACACGGTGTGCTCCCACCTCGCGGACAACGGCGTCGATGACCTCCACGGCGAAGCAGCACCGGTTCTCCAGACTGCCGCCATACTCGTCCGTGCAGTCATTAGAGCTGTCCTTCATGAACTGGTCAAGGAGGTATCCATGCGCACCATGGATCTCGACACCATCGAAGCCGGTTTCAATTGCGTTCCGTTCGGCTCGCCTGAAATGATCGACGATCCCGGCGATCTCCTCTGTCCGCAACCGGCGCGGCTTCGAATACACCATTCCGGACTCAGCGTCCGGGGAAATCTGCCTGTCCATGCTCGAGATAGGCGCCTGCCCGTCGGGCTGAAACTCTGCCAATTGGGTCAAATGAAATTCAGTAACCAACTAGACAACCAACTCCTGATCAAGCAATAATATAATCACAGCTGAGGGCTGACAAAGATACGCTCGTACTGGATGCGAACATACCATTGGTGGAGACCCTGCGGACATGCCAAATCTGACTGAAGAAGATGCCACCCTTACGGTGGACGGCGTCGACGATGGGCTTCCACGCCTCGACATGCTCCTGCGTGTACCCCTGCGCGGTGGGCGAGACAACCGTGGCCTCAGCAATGAGCAGACCGCCCTTGGTGACGCGCTGCGAATAGTACACGGCGGCGTGCGGCTGTGGCACGTTGCCCTAGGAGCGGCTCCTCGTCAGTGGCGCGAGTACCACCCGGTGTGAGAGCTGGAACTGGCCCATCTTCCACGGCGTCATCAGCGGGATCACTTCCTTGGCAGCTTGCTGCACCATCTTGCCTCCCTGTTCGGTGGTTGACACCCACACACCCTTTACAAATATTAATAATGGAGGAACTAGAATTGATGCCAACATATCAACAATTTAGTTGAATAAAATTGGGATGGTGGGGTGGTCCTAGCTCTGACCCGCCAAAGGTTCCAGGTAGTTATGGGTGACTACAATGAAAGAAGCACGCCCTGCACCTGCTGAGATAGCAAGGCAGAGAATTTTACACCAGTGCTTACCTCCCCACGATGGCGATAACTACTACTAACACTAAGTCTACACGGTCACCATGCATGCTGTTAGATCTTAATTGGCCTTGCTCTAATTTTATTCGAATAAAGTCAATAAATCCTAAGACCTAGATTAAATGTTATGTAGTATGATCAAGTACGCAATGAAAGAGAACAACTACTTCAGCTACTTCAATACAACTAGATCTGCTTCCGAGTGGCCGTTCGCAGGACTGAATTGTGTGCCTTGGTCTGCATCGACGGTGGTTCACAACATCTCAGCAAGCTCACTATGTCACCTAGTGGGCTACAACTCCAATGATTTCTTTCTTATTTATAAGATCAATATGATGTCAATGGGTAGATCACACATGTATATACTTCACAAACTTTTTGCTAATTTTTGGATTTAATTATGCCCGAATTTTCCTAAACATCTAACGATCCAAAAACCCTATAATAGGTACATTTTGGTTACTGGCTTTGATGTTGCTTCGAAGCCAAATGTATTTGATTATATGAATTACAAATGGTGGTGTGCTAATATGGTCTTGTGGTTGACAACTATGAACATCTTTTATATTGCATAAGGAAAGGCCAAACAGTTTACTCCTGAACAAGAGCAAGTTTTCAAGGTTGCTGAAAACCTGTTTCGAGATGTCATAATAAATGCTTTAGGTGAAAACATTGTGGACATCTACATGTTGTCTTTTGCCAAAGAAATGTGGGAAGTGATTGAGACAAAATTTGGTGTTTCCTAATGCTAGGAGTGAGTGCTATATGACTACAAGATGACCGATGACCGTTCTACAGTAGAACAGGCACATGAGATAAGGAAATGGCAAAAGAACAACATTCCCCGTGTGTGTTGCCTGACAAGTTTTTGGCTGGTGGTATCATCGCGAAGTTACCACAATCATGGAGGGAATTTTCCACTACTCCAAACACACAAGCGACAAGAGTTGCTGACCTTAATGGTTCTCTTGATGTTGAAGAGAAGGCTAGGACAAAGGCACTCACAGGAGAAGAGTTAAGTCTTTTATGGTCTGAAATAAGCACCTAAGCAATGGCATGAGAAGTTTGACAAAACTTTGACATATGCTAGTTTTTGTTGTGAATGAGGCTGGCAGATGCGTGTACTATTTCTATGGTAGGGGTGAAGGTGTGGTCTTGTTTTCGTATGTCGGTGATGTACTGATCTTTGGAATTTAGCCTTAATTTGATTAAAGAGGTGAAGGACTTCTTGTTCAACAATTTTGTGCTCTCTCCTTGCTCCCGGCGTATAGCACACTCCTGTTCCTGGCAATTCAATCCACGACGAAGGAGAACATCTACTTTAGTAGTACATGTAGGACTACTTTCTTATGGTTGTTCGCAAGACTGTATTGCGTACCTCGTCTTGCATCGACTGTGGTCTACGATATCAGTAAGCTCCCTATGTCGCCTAGTGGGAACGAAGTCGCGGCCTTGGTCCTGTCTTAGGGTATATTTCTACAACTCCAATTGTTTTATTTCTTTTTATATGATCAATATAGCGTCAACTGATAGATCACATGTGTACATGCTTGTCAAAAATATTTTACTAAGTTTTTGGATTAAATTATACTCAAATTTGCCTAAATATCTACACATGCTACACCGAGGAACTTCAACAACCCTAGGGCACTTTTCAAGTTGTGAATTAAGTGTTCAGGGTGTTCATATGTTAGGCGAGTCAAGACTCTAAGGGTTAACATGAATCACTAGATTTTTATGGTACACTACATGTCAGAATAGATGGCAACAACTCCATAAAAGAAGCAACGAATGAAACAGACATGATATAATCAACGGGGACAATGCTCTTGCTGATATCTTTGTAGGCCACAAGGATCATGGGAACTTCATAAAGATTGAACTTCTGAAAATTGTAGAGACCGACCTTCTGAAAACTACTATCACTAGATATGTTGTTAATTAAAAATTGTTTCTTATACTTATAATACTAAAAAGCAAAAAAAAAAAGTCAGGCTTCATCTTGAAAAACAAGCGACATGCATGTCATTCGCCCAATTTAGGTTACCTCGCTAGAAAACCTAATTATTCCACAGTTTAGATGTTCCTAGGATTAGTCACAAACGAAATTAGAATGCTAGATGCTAACAAAATGTTGGCAATCTTTTACTCAAAACTCAAGAACGCAATCTCAAGTATGCAAGCAAAACCTTAGATCCCCAAGTTTACGGAGTAGAGGAATAGAAAAAAATACAAGAATAGAAAAGGAATAGGTGTGTATAAGAAGGGAACCTAAAACACTGCAATTTTGGAAGATTTGGTGTTTGCGCCAAAGGAATATGAGCACCACGGGAATTTAAGGATTAGTGATAAACATAATTGCTTGGACTAAACAAGAACTACATAAAGATTTTTTTTCTTTCACAAAGCAGCATATATTAGTTAATAAATCAAAATATACTGGTCGGCCACTTATGCTAGTGCTTTGTTGAAACGATGGACTCTAGTTTTTGAGTGTTAATCAATTTGTGCTTGGCGGTTGCTTCCATGAAAGCATGCGCCAATAACATTAGTAATCATGAGTCTCTCAAACTTCGTGAAGAAATTGAAACCAAGAGGTGGCGATGGATTCTCTCATTCCTTCAAAACGTACAAGCGCAAAAACCTTCGCTCTAGAAAGGAATTCACAAATCCTCCACTCCAAACGCTACTTTAGTGTTTGAAACTACATGAATCTGATTCCTTTAGAATTCCTTTGAAGATCCTGTAATCCAAACAGAGCCTTACAAAATCTAGTTTTGACTAAATATTTTTCTAACCGGAAGAATATAGAGTCAATGAGGATTCAATGAGTTGCCGCATAAGGATTTAGACTAACATTGGTCCTGTTCGCTTATACTGAGATTTGGCTTAAGCTGATGCTGATGCTGAAATGTTGTGAGAGGAAAACACTATTCTATGGCTAAAACATAGCTCAAGTGAACATGGTCATAATTTGCAGAAGAAGACTAAAAAAACACTTTGTAAGCTCACAAAAAGCTATATGCTCACACGGTACAATGAAACGCTACAAGAGGATTCCATTGTAATCTTCTAAAGAAGGAAATTATGAAAAGGCACAGCCGACAAAAATTCTTCTTGAACAAGTCTCCAAACCAGACGATCTAGAAAATAGTAGATATTTTTTCTAATAATTCTAGCAAGCACATTTATTTCACCTCACAATAGTACAGAATGAAACAACATGATATAAATGACTCTCCCACAATGTCAATAAAGAATGATGGAAATAACGATGAACTCATACTTGATGAACCATCCACATTATTAGTTGTGATCAGTTTGATTATCTGCATGATTAAGCTTGAGAACTTGACTCATCATTATCGCTGCCGTCTTCAAGGAAAGGGTAATCCGTGTAGCCAACAACAGGATCTTGCGTGTAGAAGGTAGAGCGGTCATACTTGTTCAGTGGCGCATTCAACTCGAACCTCTTAGGCAGGTCCGGGTTAGCCAAGAAGAGTCTTCCATATGCAACAAGGTCAGCATAGCCTTCTGCCACTACCTTGTTGCCTTCCTCCCGATCGTATCCGCCAGCAGCGATAAACGTGCCGTTAAACGCCTTTCGGAACGGCAAGAGCCTGTGAGGGATCTGCCTGCGGCCGTCGACGATCGCCATTCGAGGTTCCACCATGTGGCAGTAGAGAAAACCCTCGTGCTTGTTGAGCTGCTGGATCATGTAGTGGCCAAGCGCCACAGGATCGGAGTCCACGCAATCCTGGAAGTCAACAAACGGCGATAGCCTGATGCCCACGCGGTGCGCGCCCACCTCGCGGACAATGGCGTCGATGACCTCCACGGCGAAGCGGCACCGATTCTCCAGGCTGCCGCCGTACTCGTCGGTGCGGTCATTAGAACTGTCCTTCATGAATTGCTCGAGGAGATATCCATGCGCACCGTGGATCTCAACACCATCGAAGCCGGCTTCAATTGCATTCCGTGCAGCCCGCCTGAAATCATCGACGATGCCGGGGATCTCCTCGGTTCGCAACCGGCGCGGCTTCGAATACACCATTCCGGACTCGGCGTCCGGAGAAATCTGCTTGTCCGTGCTCGAGATAGGCGCCTGCCCGTCGGGCTGAAAATCTGCGAATTGGGTTGAAGGAAAATCAGGAAAACCAGCTCCTGATCAAACGATAGAGTATAATCACAGCTGACAAAGATACGCTCGTACTAGATGGGAACATACCATTGGTCGAGACCCTGCCGACATGCCAAATCTGGCAGAAGAAGATGCCACCCTTCCGGTGGACGGCGTCGACGATGGGCTTCCACGCCTCGACCTGCTCCTGCGTCCAGATGCCAGGTGTCTCCGGGTACCCCTGCGCGGTGGGCGACACCCCCGTGGCCTCCGCGATGAGCAGGCCACCCTTGGTGGCGCGCTGCGCGTAGTACACGGCGGCGTGCGGCTGCGGCACGTTGCCGTAGGAGCGGCACCTCGTCAGCGGCGCGAGGACCACCCGGTGGGAGAGCTGGAACTGGCCCATCTTGTACGGCGTCATCAGCGGGATCACCTCCTTCGAAGCTTGCTGCACCATCTTGCCTGCCTGATCACTCTCTCTCGCCGGCGTGCTGCAGCTGCACTGCAGATGAGATGCAACACTGCAGTCACTTGCTAGCTCTCTGCTCTAGCTTGCTTGCTGCTTCGCTTGCTCTGTTTCTCGCTTTGCTTCTGTTCTGCTTCTTCTGCGTCTCCTGGCAGGGGTGTCGCTGTATATTTAT